ATCACAAGTTGATGATGAAGTTCATCACTACCACGATTTAATGTGGCTTTATTTGCATGGAGATGACAATGTAATGGTTGATAATTGATCGGATCTCTGACAGAATGGAAGTTCAAGCCCCCATCATAACTAGTTCTAGTAGAAGATCATATCATCGAAAAATTCATCAATCACCCTCGCCTTCGGCTCCACTACTTTGAATGCTATACTTGTGTTGTATGCACAAGTGCCTTCCAAAAGCTCTTCATCAAACAATGTAAAAGTAGGCCTTTTGCTTGCTAGTACTGAAACAAATAGTTGTAGAGAATACTTGGAAGCCATCGGAAGTGCTTGAAGTTACTGACCCAAAGAAGAGACAATCAATGACTGAAGGGAAAGGAAATGGAAATTTGGAATATGCAAACACTTTTTCCTTTAACCCTTAAATATATGTGACATTCATGGAAATTGAAACACTACAAATTCGTACCTCAATCTCTGAAAATTTACATCAAATTAGTGTAAATTTTGAATAAAAAGACATAAGAATTTAAAAATTCATAATATTAAATTTTTATTTATCCAAGATAGGAAATATTTTACACTGGGATCTTCAGCTGCCTCGGCTAATACGATAGCCCGACTCACTAAAATTTGATACAAGGCTCACTCGCAAAACATGAAACTCTCTTAACTATGTTTTTCTGTCTAAACCTACAGATAGAACAAGCCAAACAGTCCTCTGTTAGCTCCATCTAGAGAATCGCTTTGTTTGCCTAGAGAGCTACTAACTCAACCTTATATTCCTAGCATAGAGCTGCAAGTTCTTTCTACAGTTTTGTTATGGCAATCTCCCTCTGCATACTAGTTTCACAAGAGAAAGAGTCACCTGTTTCATCAAACCAATGAACTTGTAACAATAGTGATCCTTGCCAACCATCGGTCTCCCTCTAATTGTCCTAAAGACTAGACAAACATCTAGAGGCACCTCCGCCGTGGGCTTGGCCGCCTCTAGAACCGAGGGATGGTCGGTTCCCACAGTCAATGAGTCGATGATCTACATGGACTCGTCTTCAAGAATAAACAAATGTTAAAAAATAAGAACAAAACTATTCAATAAAAAAATGGGCCTTTTTGTTCTAATGATCCACTTTTTTTAAGATGATCATAGGCTCTCACCAACAAGCGGTTGAATAACCACTTGGCTAGTCTCACTGACCAAAGGAAAGGGAGTTGCATTATCACACAAGTAAAATTGGGTCTCTACGACCACCAGGACCCGTTATTAAGTCTGTCATTCACGAGTCGGTGTTGGGGCAAGAAGTGTCACACCAGTAGTGTGCATGTCTATCCAGTTCCCATCTCATGATGGAGCAACATCGAGTCGGACAACTTAGCCACTTCCTCCAAACCCTCCACCTTTTTTTATGGGTCATCTGTTTGACCTGCTTCTCTCCCTTTAGCCGGCTCTCTCCTTTCGGTCTCTTTGTGTTGACTAGCCAAACTTCTCCATCTGACCTCTTTTTTTTAGTGGGCAGCCTTCTCCCTCCGTCTGCTTTGCTAGTATCGGTCAGCCCTCATTCCCCAATTTCTTCTTTTCTACAGACTGGCTACTCACTGGTTTCCTTTTTTCCCCTATGTCCTTAAGAAAGTAGAATTTTTCAGCTGAAATACTAAAGGCCTTTATCATAACTACTTCATTTATCACCTCAGCAAAAGACTTCTTGCTACTTTTCATAAATATATCTTCAATTAAAAAATGACTAAAGATCAAGAAACACAGAGAAAGTGATGGAGAAGTGCTGATCACGCTCTATTTATAGGAATTGAGGGAGCTGAAATATTGGAATTTTAATTATTGAAAGTACTTATTACACAATAAATAAGTCCATTTTTACACATTCAAGAAGTAAGAAAATCGTGGAACAAAATTTTTATAAAACAAATGTGCCTACATGAATCTCAAGAAAATCTAATTGGTTTAGATTATGAACACCAAAGGACGATGTATCAGGATTGTCAAAAGACAAAAAGACAAAGCATCATTTCTTTTGGTACGAAATGGAAGCACACTCGAAAGAATAAATAGAAGGCACCCAATTTGAGGGACAGTCATTCATGACCAACTCCCTTAGCCGATTCATGAACTCTTCACAAAGATGGCCAAAGGGTACCTTATGGAACATTTTTTTGATCCTCTAAAAGGGTTCCTTATCCTAGAGAGCTACCCGTCAGATTACAATGATACCTCACCCTAAGCCTGACAGCCCAAGCTCAATATAAAGACAAGAGGTCATCTACTCCGAATTTCATTGGGAGGGTAGACCAATGACCTTTCAGCCGACCAAATATATGTCGGCCAAACAAAGGTTTTTAGTCGATCGAATAACAAGAAATGCATCTCCTCAATCATTTATGAATATGAAATGGTGTTGATGTCAGTTATGAATATGAAAGAGTGACGAAGTTGGTTACAAATGTGAAAAGGCGCCAACTAACTCGTAACGACCCTATTAAAATGGAGACAAACAAGAAATTTTATGTTAGATACTCAAGTAATCTATAAATAGGCCAACAAAGGTTTACTAATTTTACTATCTCAAAACTTGTGTTACTATACACTTTTTCCTCTCTCTCTCTCTCTCTCTCTCTCCTCTCTCTCTCTCTCTCTCTCTCTCTCTCTCTCTCTCTCGTCCATCATATGCTCTAAACATTGGGTGTGATCCATAAGATATATTTGGATTTAACACACTCTTTTATAATTGGATGAATCTTTATTTCAAAATTCTTATTTAATAATTTTATTTTGTTTTTTGAGAGCAAATTTAAAATTATAAAAATAAATTAAATGTCATATTCATGTTTCTCTTAGGTCACATAAACAATCATAATCCTTTGCCTGCCCTCAAGTATTTTAGAAGCCCAAAAAAGAAAACCTTCTAACACTTTCCTTGCATCTTCCTTGAACTTTATAAATTACAACCTTAGCTAGCCTTAATTCACCCAAAAAAGAACATCCACCTTCCTCCACTTCTACCTAAGAAAGATCCTCCTCCACTTTGAAATTAATCATTGCCAACCATTAAGATCCATAAAAATATCCCAAAATTACGCATCAAAGACACCACCAACCTCTAATAGATAGGTATTACCAGATTATTTCTTGGTTTTATTGCTACACTATAATGTGACTAAGGGTCTGTTTGGCGCAACTTATTGGTGTGTTTGGGGTTTTTAAAATGTCGCTTGAGTGTTGGACTGCACGTTCAAGAAGCGTTTTTGAATATATCGTTTAGCGTCCTTTCAATAGACGCATCTACAGGATCGAACCCGTTGCTCACATTTTTAATCCCATTTTGAAAGATTTTTTTTCTCCTGTGCCCCCCATCTTCTCCCACGCTCACTCGACCGCTTACACGCATCACATGCGGCTCAGCAAGAGCAAAGACCTCGTCGGCAAGGGTAACAGCGGTGAAGCCCGCGGCACGGCCCACTACAGCCCTGATTTCTTTGCCAGCATTCTTGGAGGCGGTTGGACGCTTCTCGCTGGTGGAGGTTCTGGCACCGAGCTTCAGCACTTTGCTAGAAAGGCAAATTCAATTTTGTTCATAGATGTTTTCTTTTTCAGTTGTCATTCTACTCAAATTCAATTTTGTTCATATAGATGAATGCTTCCTCTGGATTGAAGGAAATAAAATTGCAATAATTACTTTAAAATATGTTAAAATATGTAATGTAATTACTTATCTCAAATTTCTAACCGTCTTGCACAACTGCAAAATTTGCTTTCTTGATAATGAATGTGGTATTTTTTTATGAATTTCTTATACACTATATCAAATTCTTATAACACTCTATTTTGCAAAATAATAATTAGTTTATGTAAATAATTTGATTGAATACTAAAAGCTTCCAAATTCCAGATTCTATGTTCTAGACTGTAACTATATTCTGATTAAAAAATACCTTAAAATTTGTTCAACTTTTGCTTCCTTTAATTATTTAAATTACTAGATCTTAAATTGTAAGATTGAACTTTAGTAAATTTAGAATGGATGCATATTGGATACAAATTAAGTATGAATCTTTACATAATTTCAATTAGATGTTAGGTCTATTTAATTATAGATTCTGTTCAGAATTGTATCTTATTTAGAGTTCTTTTGGTAAAGAGGGAATATTACAGAAGTCTAGGAGTTTATTTATAAAACCATTATAATATCTTGTTTAAGCCCATATTAGAAATGTAAAGAATAGGTTTTTTGAAAAATTTTTTGTTTACTATTCTATATTGATATTCTGTTTCTCAAGTATCAAATGTATTGCTATGAGTTCTGTTGCAAATAATTTTACTGTACGGGCAAAATGACTATTTATCCAGAAACAGTTACAAATCAATCGATTTAAAATACAAACGAAACAACCAGTCAGCTTATCTGGATAAACCGCTAATCAATTGCTTTCAGTAGATTATTTAATAATCCACAATTGCCCAAACAGGCCCAAAATCACGATAGGCGCAGTGTATTGAACACCCCTTTTTATAAAGAAAAAAAAAACCAATGTTTTATAATTGAATTGTTTTTTTATAATAATCATGAAATAAAATAGTAAAGTAAAAGCAGCACATTTTTTTTAAGTCGCTATCATTTTGAATCAACTTTTAACATTCTAAAATATAATTTTTTTATAATAACCTAATTATCTTTAAACACTTGCCTTGATATAGCAAATATTTGCTATCTATCAGGTGAAATAAATAACATTTATATTAATCTCTTACCCTTTCCATAGCTATATTAATTTGATATTTAAAAAATAATATAATTCAATTTTAAATTTGATCATGAAACAAAAAATAAAAATTACAATCAATAACAATTAAATCAAACCTTCAAAATAAAACAAGGATCAATATCAATGCTTTCAAATTTTATCAAAATATACATCTGTACTTCATAAGGCAGCTATTTTCCTTTATTTTCATTCAAATTTATTTGAGCAAAATGAAGTACAGAATACAGTTTTTGCACGAAATTAAAGGGGGATGACAATGCTACAGAAATTTTCAACTGCCAGTAATATATTTTCATTTAAGATCCTTTTTGAGAGTACTCACACCTGAGACACCATGCACAAAAGCAGCAAACATTAACAAAAAAGAGCGTTTTAATTAAAAAAAAAAAAAAAAACTTTCATAGAAAACAAATGCAAAGAGGTGAATGTCTAAATGCACAGTTAGTTTACAACAACTCACTAACTTAAGCCGAGAATCAGGCACAAGCAACAAAAAACTAGACGTGTATCATTTCTTCTTGCGTATGAAGACTTACTATTCACAAGCCAGCTTCGTGTCAAAACTGCTCAGACAAATAGCAAAGGCCTGAAAGGCAGAAAGTGGGTACCGATAGTCCATTGTGAACATATCCTTCGCAACCTTACCGAACTGCAAAATTATCTTATCATGATCTGATTGAGCTGGTTGAGATGGCGTTGGAGCTCCCGCGGCAGGCTGATTGGCAGCAATGAGCTGGAAGTTCTTCACAGAGGCAACAGTGACACGGCCACGAAAGTTGAGGCACCAGCACTGCAATTGTTCATGCCATCTCGGGGCCTTGTTGCGAAGCACTAAAGGCGGTTCTTTGGCCTCCTCAATATTATCAGCCAGGATAGCACCACTGATGTCAGAGAAGCGAGTGCTGCTGAAGTCCATGGAGCGGTCCATGAGAGAAGACTGCGAAAATGACATGCTTCGAAAAGAATCCTCAAGGTAGCGAGGAACGATGTGTTCCGGTTGGCCAGGGACAATACCACCAATATCAAGGGCGGAAGCCGGGATTGAGTGCATGACACAATGCATGCGGCGAGGGCCCCGAGTGCCGAGTACATTCAGTTCGTATGACACCTGGGCTATGCTATAGCTGCCGGTTGGAACTTTAGGTGAGACTTTCTTGGAGTAAAATCTGCGGCTTGTCCCAGGCGGGCAGAGAGAGGCAACATTATAAGGCGGCTGTGTATCACATATGATAAACTTTGTACCCAGAAAGTTTGATCTATGGATACAGGGAGAAAATCATCAGATGAAATAAATATAAAATTTTTGGTGTTGTAAGTGCAGAACAATAATGCAGAATTTAGTATCAATAAATTACCTCAGTTTGCCAATGTAGGTGTTGCTTGACCTTGAGATGTTTTCAGGATCCATTGAAATTACATATTCAGTATAGGTTGTGCGTCGACTCCTTTTTGCTGATAGGAGGAATTTCCCATTCTCGACAAGCACGGCTACAGAAGTTACAAGCATTGTGTTATCCAGCATTATAGAAGGTTAAGTAATTAAACTTGAATGACAGGAAATTTCATCATTGAAAGTTTATAACAGAAAGGGAGCTTTAGGAAAGTAATATGATGCTCAATTGAACGGATCTATTGAAAATCTTCAGGGAAGGGCAAAAGCATAATGTGACATTTTAGTCTTATGAAGCATGTCCTTCAAAATCAGTTAAGAAACAAAATTTGAATTCCCTAAAACTGACCAATTGTTCAATTCATTAAAAATGGTCGTAGTCATTAATTTCCAAGTCAGGATAAGGACCACCAATTACAATGTTATGTGAAACAATACCATGCCAAAACATTTGTTATGTAAAACAAAGGTATGTCAGCAAAAAATTAGAAAGCAGTACAAGCAAGAAAAACAGCACATGGTTATCATGCAAAAAAAATGTCCGGAACATTGCACTAAATTTAGCGCCTGTTAACTACTCTAAAGACAATTTTGCAAAGTGAAAAGATAAGTAGAAATGAATGGTTTCATTTTCTTATTTTTTGAAACTTTCTGCCAAAGCGCACACATGCATGCTTTTCATAAGCTGACCTTGGATATTCACGCCAAAGTGAGAACCCGTTGGAGGCAAAGTGGACCACGTCAACTATTTGGTTGACCAGGGAAATGAAAAGTGGCATTTTCCCTTGTTAAGTAACTAGAACAACTCTCAGTTGCTTCATACAAATATGCTTCAAAGTTACGCTGCATGGCAAATGTGATAATCTAGCCTTCCTAGAAAGTAGTGTCATTACAAATTCTTAGAAGCAAATACTCAATTTCCACTTAAGAAAAAAAGGAAAATGTCACTTCCTCCCATTTTCCATCCGCCACAGGTTCTTCAGCGAAAAAAATAAAAAAATAAAAAATATTCATGAGGTAAAATGATAAAGAGCTAAAGTGTGTCATTCCATGAACTTAAGAACAACTGTTCGAGAGATTAATCAAATTAAGGTGTTACACTCCACAAATTGGAGTTCAAAAATGGTGGTAGTTTCACCCTTGAAGCTAGTTTAGCAATCGGTGGTATTGCAAGTGATATAAGCCAATTTTAGTGTTTTTCCTGCATGTGATTATGTCATCTCCTCTTTATTTATCACAGTTTTAGGCTTGAGAAAGATTGTTTTTGGTGTTTTGCAGATTACAGAAGCTCAAACGTGTAATTCGAAGTGAGAAAACGGCGGATCCATGGGAGCCACACCAGCATAACCACACCTAAAATCGGTGTAATTACGTCGCCTGCTCTAGTTGGGCGGTGTGGTTTCGCTAACCTCAGGCATGACAATGTCGTATTTGGTGTAGCTACGCCACATTCAGGCATGACTGCCAGTCCATGAACTGGATGGCCTGACCATGGTGGATTTGGGCATAACCACGCCATCGAGTGTGCTTTTACAATTGGAAAGTTTTATCTTGTTAAACCAACAAGAGAACTATAAAAGGAGATGTTAGGGCACGAATTGATCATATGGAAGACTGGAAACTGAACTTGCGGAGAGTCTTTAGAGAGTTTGAGGGTTCCTTTAGGGTTTTCTCTTCCTTCATTGAGGCAGGATGCTCTAAGGGCTGTTTTCTCTTTTTTACTTCTTGTTTCTTTTTCTTGAGAGAGCTATGTATGAAAGTAAGATGTACTGTTGTGGAGGAGAGGAGAATCTTAGTTGTAAGTGGTTCTTATGTTGTAATGCAACTTGCATATTGATTTCAACAGATTAACTTGTGTTTTTTCTTTTCTTCATGAGTACCTAAATCTTTTTGGTGCCTTTGGATGAAGGAATAGTGACTTTCCATGGTTTTATCTTATGCTTTCCACTTCAAGTTTTCCAAGCTTTACTTATATCCATGTTGTTAGTTAGCATTCTGGTCTTCGTTTACTCTTACTCCTGATCTGGCTAATTAGAATGTTAACATTTATTGTGAGCTATGACTTCTGCCCGTTGTATGGTAGAACAATTAGGTTAACCATAAAAACATAGTAGAATAGGCATATTCTAATTAGGATTTTATAACTTAGATAAAGAATCAAAGGAATCATGAGAAACACTATAGGGTTATTCGAAACTTAACTTTATGGGTTTCTAATTTTTCTTCTGACCTAGACATAAGCTTAAGAAGAAAAATTATCCCCAATTGACAATTATCACATAGGGGAACACTTAGGAAAACCACATAATCGCACCATATCCCAGTCACAAAGGTAAATACCTCATCCTCTTGAAGAACACTGAAAGTTTTGGTTTTGTATTTTCCAAGTTCTCAGACTTGTTCTCTGCTTGTTTAGAATTTTAGGTTTTGACTTCCAAAGGTTGTGATCATGCTAAACTAGGTGTTGACGTTAGGAAACTACAGATTTTTTGTCAGAATAATTGTTACTTATTTCATTTTAGGATCGATAGACAGACTCTTAAACCACATATTATTTGACACGTATAATTGTGTACTTCATTACCTGCCGCATAGCAATTTTCAGCCATCAAGTTTTTGGTGCTATTTTCAGGAAAAATCGTTAAGAATTTTTATGATTTTAAAACTTTAGTTGAACTTATAATCCATGTTTAGCAACATCTATTTTTCATTATTTTTTTTTATTTCTAATTATTTGTGTTGCACTTGCATATTTACTTTGCTAATTTAATTGCAGGTACTATAAAAGTTGAAAAAAACTCAAAAAATATTACAATCCAAAAATAGTGTATGTTTTTCTTTTATTTTTGCATGTGTATGTTAATAGACTTTTAACAGACTTGTGTGGGGCATTGTGATTTTGTGTGTTTTGTTTTGCGTCTGTCGAGTCTGCCTTTACGATCACATGTTCACTAGCCTTAGTTATGCATGGATTGCCAAAGCAGATTTGGCATCTTTTGACCCTGAGATTGATCGGACCTTTAGATGCCTTAGGAGAGCACATTCATTATCTGGCACACATAGAAGCCACCAGCCCTCATGACCATACAATAAAACCATTTAGGGATTATGTCAACCCATCTACTGAGGAAATTCACGTACCAACTACCCAATAGTAGATGCCAATAATTTTAAACTCAGGCCAGCCATTATCCAAATTGTATTGAATAGCAAGCTTGGGAGGACAACCTACTGAAAACTCAAATCTTCACATATCTAATTTCCTTGAACTCTGTGACGGTTGCTAGTATAACAGTGTCCCCAACAATGTCTTTAGACTTAGATTATTCTCATTCTCTCTGAGGGACAAGACCAAAGTGTAGTTAAACCCCCGTGTACCAATATCTGCAACCATTTGGACTGACCTTGCCAAAAAATTTCTAGCAAAATACTTCCCTCCATCTAAGACTCCTAAGCATAGAAATAATTGCTTCGTACACCAAAATAGATGGAGAAACAATAGGCTTGGTACAAGTTCAAGGAATTGCTTAGGTGTGGAGGTGCCCACACTATGGCTTGGGCGACTAGTTGATTATCTAGACCGTTTACAATGGGCTAGTATGCTCCCAAAGGTCCATTATAGACAATACAGTTAAGGAATTATCAATGTCCAAACATTTTGAGGAAGCGTATGAGTTGATAAAGAAGATGACAATCAATAATTTTTAATGGTCTTCTGAGAGACACTTCAAAAAGTTGCAAGTATCATGACACAGATGTTATAACTATCCTAGCCAACCACTTAGCTGTCATTTCGAGGAAATTAAATACTCTTGGGGTGAATGCAGTGCAAGAATCTCCATTAAATGAAGGGATATATGGACCAGTAGTAGATCCTAACATGACAACTTTAGAGGTTATAAATGTCATAGGGAACCAAGCCAATAACCCTTATTTCAACACCTACAACCTGGCTGGAGAAACCATTCAATGTTTCAATTGAGCAATAATAATCAAGTTCTGTGGGAAACCAACAATGGGGGAACCCTCAAGCCAATCTTGTAGATAATTGGAACAAACAAAAAAAAACCCCATAAACAAGCATACCCAACAGGATTTCAAGCCAATTCCCAGACCATGCAAAAAGTCAACTTTTGAGGAGCTAATGATTCAAATGAGGAAGCAATTACAAAATCAGGTTGTAGTCACTATAAAAGTAGAAAATCAATTAAAACAGTTAGCAAATTCATGAACAAATGATAGGTGCACTCCCGGTAACACTGAATTGAATTCTAAAGAAAAAGAGAGGGAGAAGGTGCAGGCTGTGAGGCTAAGGAATCAGGAGTTAGAAACCACCACTAAGGAGAAGAACCTAATTGACTTGGACCCTGTAGTAGGAGGCGAGAGTGAGACCCCAGTAGAAGATGTAGAAATATCTGTTTCACCCTCTAGGATTCAGCCTGAGAGACTCCCACCACAATTTCCCTTGAGTCAGTAGAAGCAAAAACTAGACCAACAAAGTTTCAGGTTTTTAAAGGTGTTAAAAAAATTAACCATAAACATTCTATTTGTTGAAGTCATAGAACTGATGTCTAGTTATGCCAAGTTCACGAAGGATGTCTTGATCAAGGAGAAAAAGCTGGGAAACTTTGAGACTGTGCATTGGCTAAGAAGTATAGTGCCAGTCTACAGAGAAAGTTGCCCAAGAAGATGAAAGACCCAGGAGTTTCACCATCTCGTGTGTCATGGGAGAGGAATTTGTAAGGAGAGCCCTTTGTAACTTAGGAGCAAGTATAAATCTAATGCCACTGTTGATTTTCAAGAGACTTGAGTTAAGAAAGGCTCAGTCGACTAATCTGGCCTTACAGTTAACTAACTGATCCTTGGCTTACCATATGAGAATTTTTTAGGACGTGTTGATAAATGTGGATGAATTTATATTCCCCGTAGATTTTTCGATAGTGGACAAGAAGGAGGCCAAGGAGATACCTTGACACTTGGCTAATTTTTTTTTAGCTACAGGAAGGTCAACGATAGATGTTAAACAAGGGAAATTGACCATGAGAGTAAATGAATAGGATGCCACTTTTGATATTTTGATCTCAATGAGATTTCCTCA